ACAGATCAAAATTTCAATACTTCTTAAACAAACCTGTTGTCAACTTTCCATGACTGAAAATTTAAACAGTCCACATTATAGTCTTTTTATCTCATTCACAAAACAATTATATTTCTGAAAATGATCTATGGCCTGTATTTTGATCTTTTACTGAATTTTCATATTTTGAACATGAAGTTACTTTATAAGATAACGTTTCTTACATAAATCACATCAAGTTCAGTGAAAAATCATGTATTCAGTATCTGGTATCTTTAATAGTTGTAGATCTGTAGACAGATTAACTTACATTACACTGCATTCAAATGAACCATGATGAAGTAATTGCGTATATGTTTGGACAAGTAAATTATTTGGTTGCGAAGATCTCAATCTAATTGCAAATTGAAAATCAATTTCATTGCATTTTTATTTACTTTTAATACATTACCGTAGTAAATCATATCTCTGATTTTTTTTCTTTGTCACTCATCAATCATGTATCAAATTTTATTCATTTGACTGACTATCTTGTGCTAGAAACTGTGTATATACTGTGTTTAGACCTGATTTCAGATACGAGGTACATTTGGACCTGTCATAATGGTATATCTATTGAACACTCCTCTCCTCCAAAGAAATAACCACATTTCCATCCTAGGGAGACCAACACACAGTTTCAAATGTAAAGTTGGTATAGGCTTGCTAAACAAGGAAGATGTGCTTTATTGTGATCTTACTAACAGCTATGTGTGGGCTTATTGCCAGGCAAGGACTTATTACTAGACAAGAAAAACTGTCAAACATGGACTAAAAATTCCCAGACAATGACTTATTGCCAGACTACGGCAAAAAAAATTCCAGAAAAATGTAAAATGTAGGTCTATTATTGGTTGTTTTCTTGAATATTTGAGGAAATTTTAGTCAACATTTTTAATGGGAAAAGTGATGTCTCTTCAGCAGATTGTTACCCGGTATGTCAGATAAGTAATATTGGGACCGTGTCAGTATATTGAGGAAATATCTTGTCATGAACATGATTGGTGAATTTGGAAGGAAACTTTCAGGAGTAAATTTTGAAAAATTGTCCTTAACATAAAATAATTCAAAATCAGTATGGGGTTAGTTATCAATCCCCCAAAAACCACTTCTTGAAAGGATTAACTTATTAACCTACAATCTGGCCATACCAGGTTATAAGACCACAGAATGCATTACTGTGCAGTAATGTTACAAACAATTGATATTGTTTTCAAGGTCTGTAAATATTTGAACAGACCTCAAGATACGAAAACACTCCATTAAAGCTATACAGATCAGATCTCTTTCTTATCCAGACAAAATCTTAAATCTGGTAATTTTTATATACCAAGGTACTAAATCATTGAAAATCAAGTGCTAATTCTAATTTTGTAAAATTAGCAAGCAATTCTCAAGGTATGTTGATTGATGGCAAATGTTGATAATTTTTAAAACCACCTGCTAATGAGTTACTTTCCATTCGTTTTTCTATTGCAAGTTTGTTATGCTGGCATACATTTTGTAATTTCGACTGGTGTTATATTTCAATGTACGCAGGGTTGGTAGAAAGTAATATCTCTCCCCAAGGTAATTCTTGTCTTTGACAACCAGTGCATTCATACAGATCAATTATAAAGAACACAAAATTTGAATTCTAAATCATCACAAATAATGAGCTGCTTGGTTAATTAATCAACATTATTGAGGCCATGAATACAAGCTGTGTTGTCGATAAGCTTTAATTATCCTACACACGAACATGATTTCAGTTATAAATTTTTTTTTAAATCGTGTGCTTTTTTGAAACATTTTGCTGGGTTTAAAATATTCTTCAAATTCAAAATTTCATGCCAGTTAATCCTCAACTAAATAATATCAGAAAACTGGTATAATAATAATCAACATCCTTTTTCAATAAGTTTGATTTGTGTTTACATAATTATGTAGGCAACCATCTTCAATAAACAAATTGAATTATATCTCTGTAACAAGGCCTATACTCTTGTACTTTCCTGTTTAGTCTCAATTAGACAAATCAAAATTATTTAGAACCAGGAAGTTCATATAATATTTTAATGAGACTCGTCAAAACAATTTTGTAAAGAGAGGGACACATTAGTGTAAGCTGTGATTTAGAATATAACTGCCTACCTGTTGATCATGATCACAGACCGTGATATAAGTCCTGATCAGAGGTTGTATTTACACAAGTATTTACAATAAGAGTGGAGGACATGATATTTACTATAAAACCATACAATAATATTATTCAGGTTATTACATGTAGCACTATACATTTTAGAATTGTATTTGAGTAAAATTTGAAAGTCCAGAGCGATTCTAAAAAGCAGAATTGTGTAGTTATCAATACCTGAGTGACAGCTGGCTTTTAAAACATTTAAAAAAATGAATTAATGATATTTATATACCCTGGTATCATAATTTAGTTGAACAAAAGAAACTGGTTTGAATTGTATTTACCCATGGCTAAACAAACGATCTCTTGTCTACAAATGTTCCAGCATTAATTAAATCATTAATCCTACTAACACACTGTCCTATCTGACCAAATGTTTAGGACACCTGAACTTGATGCCACTTAAGTATCTTGGCACACTGTCCTATCTGACCAAATGTTTAGAACACCTGAACTTGATGCCACTTAAGTATCTTGGCACACTGTCCTATCTGACTAAATGTTCAGGACACCTGAACTTGATGCCACTTAAGTATCTTGGCACACTGTCCTATCTGACTAAATGTTTAGGACACCTGAATTTTATGCCACTTCAGTATCTTGGCACACTGTCCCATCTAACAAATATTTTGGACCTCCTGAACTTTATGCAACCTAAGAATCTTGGTACACTGTCCAATGTATAGTTATTACCAAAAAAAGTCACAAACATATCAGGCACTATGTTACAGCCTTACAGGGCCTTTTCTACAAGTATGATATGCTTTTCTACAAGTATGATATGCTTTTCTACAAGTATGATATGCTTCTTCTGCCATTGAATGGAACACAGCTACATGGAAATAAATATCATCAAATGAAATCTCTTTCTAAAGAAGGTTACATCCTGATGCAGGATCTCCTTGTTAGGTAGTTGCTTGTCACCTCAATGAACAACATATGAGAGGCCCATTGCATGTCATCCAGATCAATAAACGTACAGAGTCCTGTCTGGGGCACAACCACAACAGCCCACACAGGTATGTTTCTCAGCTTCCTGAGTAATTAACACAAACTGCCATGAGTAGAGAGTATCAAACTAAGCACTTTAGACCTTCACCTGAGGTGATACAGACCAACACTCTACCAACTGTTTTGGGGGCCCCAACAACTATTATGGTGGCCCGAAACCTAGTGCTTCTATAAAAATTAAACTGAAAACATAAAGAAACGTGTCATAAATCTCATAAGGAATGGAAACAAGACACTAGTCTTAATGAGTGTATGTAGTAGATACTCGACATGAAATACTGTCTATCAATATCATTTTGTTAAACATTTCTATAGTCAATCTATCATGTGCTACTGGGTCACCTATACAGTATGATTAGGTCTACGTTCCTATTTACTGGAAAATCCTTCTCTATTGAAACCAGATAGACTCAACTACCACATATATTTAAAAAACATCAATTTCATTTTTTTTTCAATTGTCAACATCAGGTTGAACAAAGAGAAATGAGTTTAAAATGATGTTATTTACATGTAAGGATAATATGTCCCTGTAAATGATGGCTTCTTTAAAAGCCATTACTGAAATGTACTTTACAACTAACTGGGACAATTTTCTACCCAATTATTGATGTCTCTCCTAGTCAGGATACTTCTACATGTTGACAAATGTATATTGACATTTATAATTAGTCCAGTAAAAATACTAATTTTTTCTCCAATAGTAATAAAAGTACACCTGCATTTTCACTAAGTTAGGTCATTAAAATTACACAGTACATCATACGATAAATTACATAATCCCACAGAATGCTTGTAGAGAGATGAGAGGGACCTGTTTTTCGTCTGGTGTTGGATAGTGGCATTTTAACCTCATTTTCGAAGACGGAAATGTTCAGGAGTAAATTGCAAATTTTGGAAATTCAGCTCACATATAAAATAATTTTAATTCAGCATGAGGTCCATTATGAGCCAAAACAAATTCTCAAAAAAGTCCTGTATACCAATATAATTCTAAAATAAGGTCAGGGGACCAGCAAGCACAAAACCTCTGAGTGGGTGGACTTAATACAAGACAATGAAAAAGTGTTCATTGGTTCAAAATTCTACTAAACAGCAACAGACATGGGTGGACTTTTAAAGGATAATCCTGGAGGAAGCCAAAGGACCCCAGGTCCCTAAAAACTAAACCTGACCCCTCCATTTTCTTTCATATTTACAGAAGATTCCCAACCTGTTTTCTGACATTGACTAAAGATTACTGAAAACTTGCCCTCAGCTCCCAGAGGTTTCCCTGAACTGGCCCATTACCAGGTATCTGCTTAGTTGTTGATGGATATTCAGTATGTGGAAATGGAGATAAAAGCAAATGTAAGGAACAGAAATCTGGAGCAAGTACCAAAATGCCATTCCATGGCCATACTCTCATGGCATTGTGGACAAGGAAGGGGTTTGGAGTAAAAAATTGCAAAAACATAGTAGATAAGAAACACATGATGTTGAATTCTTCCCGAGATAAGACAGATTATTAGACGTTTATCATTAGACAGTGCCATCATAAGTCTGAATTATTCTGACATTCTATCAACTTCTTAAATCAATCTGGACTCAATGGTCAAGATATATCATATATATAAAAAATTTGATAGGCCAAAAAATAATTTTGGATCACAAAACATAGATTTCATGTAGCACATCTCAAATGGATTGTTAAAAATTGTTTGTAATGGTAAAAAATTATGGTTTTGAAAAGTCCATGACCAACTACATGTACATGTGTTACAAGTTGAAATAGAATATTTGTATAACTTACAATCAGTTTCTGATTTTGCCGCTTCATGTATTTGTTTTGATACCCAAGGCTGGCTTTGTTGTTGATACTCGGTCTGCATAAATGGAGATAATCCTGATGGAACAGGTGATCCCAGTTCTGTTTGCATTTGACCTTTGGGGTTAAAAAAAGTTAGAATAACTGAAGTGTGCAACAATATAACAGTATGTATCATATCCAAGTACAAAAAACCAGACACCTGTATATCATGATACACAACAATTTCTGCATTTGATATCAATTTCTTAAAGATTCCTTATCAACAAAAACTGTAGCTACACTTGAAATGACCTTTGACGCTTTTTGTAACTTCTAAAGATGCTTGCAAAAATGAAACTTTTGTGAGACTCAGTAAGCACCTGTGAAAATGACAGGTTTGTAAGACCCTGTATTAGTTGATAACAAAAGATGGTGTTTCTTTTCTAGAACAGAGAAATACATACACACACAATTTATGACAAAACTGTGGAAGGTAATATGTTGTAATACAGTGTATCACAACATATCATAATTTGTTTAACGTTATCGTTACACCACTAGAATTACTTCTTTTGATTATGTTGGACTGATAAAAAAGAAATAATTAAAAAACCAATGTTTTAAAGAATTAAAATGCAATCAATTCATGAATGACAATTCAAAAGACAATTATGGTAATCAAATGAGTTCAAGAAAGACTCAAAGATCTCAGAAATGCAAAGTAATCCGAATGTGTATATCCTTCTGTAAATCTGCTCAATTAGAAGTAATTACAAATACTGGTAAAGTCAGATTAAAAGATTCTGACAAACAATGATTTCAACATATAATAGTTTCAATGCGAGAATCAAACAACTCAAGCCAATGAATGATTATGAAACTGAAACCAATTGCCATCATCTACTGACTATTAAATATACATATTTACCCAGACACTTAATCTGTCAATGTTCATAATGTATTTAGATATAGGTTTAGTTTCTGAATGATTAGCAAAATGTTCAAAATAAATTTATAAATTTCCACTTGATAACAAGGATAAATCAAACTTTCAGCATAAAATTTAAAATTGCATGAATGTGAAATTATCTTTTCAGTGTGACCTTGGTGAGAAAAAAAAATTATATATAATTAAACTATTGGCAAACTATTTCTCAATTATCTTTGAGAGCAGAATATTCCTGTAACTACTGACTAGTCTCGACAATGTTGTGGTTTATTATCATATTGACATGTCAATCATATCTCAATCCAAGTAGGGCATGTTTGTCTAACACAAGTCTACCATGAGTGGACACATCCTGTATATGAGAAGGTTAAGATAAGTTGAGAATGATATGTGTAAACTTTTCAAAAAAAAGTTATTACATGTAATTATGTATGATTCTTGACATTAGGTTTAACTTGTTAAAATGTGGGTCTAAGATGTTTGCCATTTTTTTTTTAAACTTGCATAATATTGTTAAATTATACACGTATGTATGTAACAGAACTGACAATGTAGTCAGGAGGTACACAAATGTATCATCTGCCTTGTTGAAAATTAAGAATCAAAAGAAAGTATATTTTTTAAAGGTTGTCTCAGATATCTGTCAACTAGAATTTTCTACGAAAGAAATTAAAAAATAAATCTTTATTTATTTTTTTTAATAAATTATGCTTAATTGTTAGTGTAAGAACCATTGAGTGCATGCAGAACCGTTTTCCAAACATTTGTCATTTTATCATAGTACTATCTTAAAATTTCACATATAAATGTTACACAAGAGTTCTAATGGAGACCCATTCCAAATATGTCTCTGGTGATAGGCACAAAATATATGGCTGTAGGCCTTAAAGGTGGTACAGTTACTGAGTTTTACCAAAAACAAAACATGCTGCTCGCAATTTCAGTAATGCCTCTAATGAGATATTTTCACTTATAGATTAATAAATGTGTATTTTATTACTCAAATGTTTAAATCGATCACTTTTATACGATAAAAACCGAAGTCGTAAATGTAAACATTACACAGTGGTAATTGTCAAACACGGTATAGGATAACAAATAACTTAGAACAAGTTATACCCTGATTCAACAACCAACTGTCTTCTCCGCTCATCACAAAATCACATGTTAATAACTTCCTACCAACATGTAAACAACTCGCATGGGTTCCGGTTAACTCAGTCGTGAAAGAGATATAACAAGAACATTCATAGTAAAGTACTTACCAGACATTGCCGATTTCTTCTCAATAAATTCACACAGATAATAAAGTTATATTCATACAATTTTTCTCCCGATAATAATTCAAGAACATTGGCTACATTCCGTTTCTATCCCAAGCACTTCCACTTTGTCGCTCTCCGGCGGTGAAGACAAAAATATGCGTGTATTTGTAGGTAGCCAATCAAATACGAGATCCGGGTCATGAACCCCAATAAACAAATCAATGAAGCGCGGTATTGTTACACAGGTGTTTTTTTCTACACGTAGACAACATGTATTGACAGGTGTTTGTTGTCGTTGTCTACGATGACGTTCTCTATAGAAATAGTCTCTACAGTTGGATGGGAATTTTTCATGATCATCAACGAATACAATTTGTTGTGACGTCAATGTCGGGAAAATCATAGGAAAAATATCGACAAAACGCCCTATTGATTTTTAAACAGTGTAAAATTCCAGTTGAATTTTTAAAATGTTTCCCACCAGAGAAAAACTCTATGTTTAAATGATGTATTCTATACAAAAATAAATAGATAAAGAAGTAAAAGCACACAACAGATATACGTCGGAAAGTACTTAAGAATGTTCTATTGATACAGTGTTACAATACTAATATATGTATATCGATCTCGAAGTTTTGTTATACAAATACACCTATTTGAGAGGTAAAAACAGTTCAAAGGTAAAACTGAAAAATTCAGAGTAGACATGAAAATGAACTTTCGTCAAAATGGTCATATGAAATGATACAACGATAAATTTAAGATTTCCCAAAAGTCGGTTACCCTGGTTCAATATCCATCTCTAACTGATAGATGGATACATATACATTATGAGTTTACTTGTGATTGTGAAATAAATACAGTGTGTATCTATTTATGTATATAAGAATTTGTTTTACTTTCCTAAACTTTCATCGTTCTGATAATGAAGAGGACACAACTTAAAAATTTCTATGCTTGAATCTCTTGATAAAGCATCTTTTTGAAAATTCTTTTGATCAATTTTGATTTTCTCAGTTGCCTCTAAGGTTTCAAAATTTAGGCCCATATCATCACTAACGACTCCAAGAAGGACGAAACAGCTACACAATATGATGCAGCTGTTCAATTCGTTAGATCGCTCTTGTATCTAATTCTTAATTTGTATTGAAAGGTGTAAATACGGTGTTTCTTTTGCACAATCTTCATTTATGATGGTAATGATACAGTATTTCACAAAATTTCAATTATAGATATTTTTTTCTTGACGAGAAAGCTATTGTGGGCTTAGCCGTAGAGAACGCCTCAGTGATGAATCCTAAAGAATATCTATGATAAATGTAAGTAAATGTAACAGTTCCCTCCAACACTTCATATTTAGGATCAACAAAAGAACCTTAGATTCTCATCATTATGTTGTTGTATCCCAATAGGAGGTACGAGTACCCCTGTGCATTTAAACAGTCTGTTATACCAAGTTATTTACTGTGCAACCACTACCCGCGCTGATTTTTTCTGTTTCTTGTGAAGATGAGGTCACGGATCGTCCTCAGCTGTCGTGGCTGTGTCATTGAGAAAGTCACGACCCCAAAACTGTTCTAAGTAGTCGGTGCCATATGACCCTTTCGCATTCTGTTCAGTGAGGTAGCCAACTACTAAATTTACTAAATGTACGTTAATGGAACTATAATTCCAGCTAACAACAGTCATCTTAGACATGTTTCTGTCCACATATCTTTTGCCCACTCGGTGCACACTTTATAATGCTCTTATATATTTTTTTCAAATACGAATAAAATCTCAATTCTAAAGTCATTTTTTTCGATTTTCCATTTTTTTAATGAAACGACATTCACAGAGACGACTAAGTAAGTTTGCAAGAAAAAATATATTTCACCGTATTTGATAACACGGCGTGTTGAAAGTTCAAGTCTACGTGATGTTATTCTGTCATGGCGTCAATACAGAAAATTGTAATTACTCTCTCTTGGAGGTATAGATAGTTTCTATACAATACAACCACTCATTTGTTCCGTAGGGTTGTTTAAAGAATGAAATGAAGACAAAAGATTACTGCTTTTATTCTTAGACAATTCATTTAGATACTTTGTGTATACTTACGGGAAAAAACCTTTGTCTCTTTCCTGTGTCTGTTTCTATTTTTCCATATTAGATAAAGTATAGGGCAACTTAACTGATAAAGGGGTTCAACTCGACCACAGTCCACCTGTTACATTTATAATCCTACCTCTTGCGGTGGATGCTTTCTCGGTTCATCAATTTCATGAAAAACTACAACAATGACTCTACACACAGAGTGTGTAATAAACTGGATGTAAATCAGGGCTATTAATATAAGATATTGAACTACGACGATCAATGAGATCGTTAGCCAAGTAGTATGACACGAGTTATCCCCCTTTTAACTCTGATCAATAACATCGCGCGCCATTGTACGAACTAAAACGATATCGACTAGAAATTAATACACATCTCAGTTCCGTTTATTATTGGGTACGTTTCTCAATGACTAAAATATTCAGCGTACGATGAAATTTATTTTCGACTGTGAGGGTGTGTGGTTGTACATGTAGGAGACTAGGCTTATTGTTGTGTACATAGATGAAGGGTAAACAAATTTTTCAAGTTATCGACATTCGATGAAATTATCTCTTATAATTACTGAGAAATTTGAAGGCAAGTTAAAGTTCACAATTTCAAATAAGAATGTCTGTGCATAATTATAAAACTATATGATATACAAATGTATTTGGATAAACTTTCACCGACCTCATTCTCTTCAGTTCAAAACTAAGACCCTTGGATTATAAGTATACAATTTTTCCGAAACCCAAATTGTGTGTGAGACAGGATTTCCTAGCTTGCTAGTTTAGAGAAAAAGTCTTTAAAAAGAAATGTTCATCACTTTGATTTTCGACTACACCCTGAGACAATTTTTATGCGACCTTTGTTCTTCAAACGGCCCAATTTATCATCATTTGAAAGTAAAACCATAAAATTAATGATGTGGGCGCTTCCATGACTGTGTACGAGAGATGAGGGCTTGGAAGAAGTTATTTTTCTATGGTGAACATAGATTGCCATAATTAACGGTCTCCGCTAAGTCTGGAGAAATCTACCACAAAATATTAGTAAGGCCGTGAAGTGTAATTGTTACTGAAGCTGAGGATAACCACCGGTAGACGTAAATGGCGTTTTATAACATCAACATCTAACAAATAAATAAATAAATAGCGGATACATTAGTAGGTAGACCCCTTCGGACTAAAAGACGTTAGACTGTTCCAAAACTGGCGTTGGTATTGATGAGGAGGGAAACTTTAGATTTCTGAAAATGTAAGTTGCAAAGTTGTTTATAGTTGTAAGCAAATAAGTTTCGACAATTACTACGGTATTTTTAAATTGTTATTCTGTTCGGTCGTAAGGTATTACTTTACACAATGGATGACAGCAGCCTCTGTCAATGTTTGGACAAGTTTATTTTTGGCGTTTTAAATGAATGTAAAGTTTTTGAATTTTGTTATTGGTCTGTACGTGCAAGAGGTCGTTACTGAAGCCTGCCTCAATTCAAAAATATTTCTGAGGGGAGGGGATATTGATTTGTTGATTTTGTTTCAAAATTATCGGAAGATGTTGAAATACTCACTAATCCTTTCTTGTATTGTGTACGAGACACACTGGTATAAGGGAGACAACTGCAAATAGATTTTCGACCTTCAGCATCCATGACGAGTCGCAGAAGGAAAAAAACAACTGTTTGATTCAGTGTAATTAATTGTTTCAAAATGCTGTATCAAACTCGTATTTGTATTAAAATGTGCTATTCCCTTGTGTGTCTTGTAGACACTGCTGGTGGACTTTGAAGTCAACTTTGTTTGCTGTAATCTGTATGTCACGTTTTAAATCGATTTGAATAGTGGCAAAGTTCAGAATATACACATGCACTTGACGCTGTTATCTGGTTAATGAAAATTATGAAATTTATTTTATTATGTGGCTGCTGCACCTCGCTTTCTAGATTTTGACTTTTCTTCGATCAGTTTGGATTTTCCTCAGTTGCCTTTGCGCTTCAAAATTCAGGCCCTAAGGATCACTGATGATTCCCAGAAGGACGAAACAGCTATATGATGCAGTTTAATTGTTTGGCTCTACATAACTAACTTTAAATTATTAAAAGGTGCCACTCACTTGTGTCTTTTATACAATCTTTACAAAGAATGCATCTAACATGATAATGAAAAGGAATAAAACGGCTGGACTGTTTTATTGGATTTGGTCTTTATTAATTATGACTGTTTACAACTATGTACAGAATATATTTTCCAAAAAGCGTTTTTACCATAAAATATCTTAAATACATGGTGAGTAAATGCTTTATCCATATAACGTAATAAATAGTGATCAGTGATCATATTACACAAGGTCTGAACCTCAATCGTTGGCACCAAGGAAAAATGTTGACAAACAGGTGTTTTTCAAATCTTTGAACAACAGACAATAATATTTTTTTTTACCATATTCATATTTCAAAGAAGACCAGGTGAACATGGTATCGAACAATATTTTTTAAATTTTTTTTTATATTTTTGCCCTTTATCCTTTCCATAAAAGGACATATTCAAAATGAGATGGATGTTGTGATAACCGTAAATTATGTAGTTGAGATCAAATGACACTAAGATTCTGCACTAAGCTCATCAATATTTAATCTTAGAACACAAGATATCATACCTATTCAAGGTGTAAGCAGATCTTAATGGTACATGGTAAAGGAATTGAAATGAATAAAATCCAATGCCAGAATGAACTGGGAAATTATGTCCTTAGAAACAATAAACTTGGTGGCATAAATGAAAAGACTTGAAAAGTTGATATCAAGTTGGAATACACTTTGAATATCTAAGATTCTCTAATAAAGAAAAGACATAGTGCAGTCAAATTTAAGATAGCAATATTGTGGCAGAATCTGACAAATTTTTACATAAACTTAAAAAGAAAACTGAAAAAATCTCTAAACTGCTTAATATAATTTAAATACATAATTCTAAAATAATCACTCTTTTCTCTTCATAGAAAAACACACAACCTGATTTTTGTTACTTAAAAATACAGAAAAAGAAATATTGAGATAAATGTGTAAAAGTTTAAATTATTGTAAAATTCACCATTTTTTAAACATCAACCACTAAATCTATTTGTGTGTAAAAGTTATTTCATGTATAAAATGTACTATGATATATCATCAATGTTTAATAAACAAAAATAAATATCTTCTAGAAAGTAGCACCATTATATCATTTGGCTAAATAAAGTCTGTTCATGACTTCTATGAATGCAACATATAATTTCTTATCAATTAAAATTAATATCATAAATCCGTAATTTCAAAGTCGTCATAAAATTTGATGCAATATCATAATTCTTGATTCAACACCTTTTTATAACAATTGTGAAAAAATACCAGTATTTAATATACAGACGACAATACTTACATAAGTCATATACAAGATGTAAATAGAAATAATACATGCTGCTAAATTGTTGTATACATATACATCGTACCATTGTAAATACTGTCAGATCCAATAATTTTAGGGTAAGTTTATGGTGTCTTTCTTATCCCTATGAGATGAGTTACCTCCCTTGTTTTATGAGGGTTTTGTTGATGTATTAGTAGTTGACAAATGCACAGATACATTTAGATTTAAATATAGATTTCTGGACGGAAACGGTCAACCATAGATTGGATGTTGTGCCTTAAATTGTGAAGGTTTTGACTTTAAAGTGGTTGACTTGAGAAAGACGTGTCCCTAAATTACTTAATTTTATTTTAGAGAAACAATATCATCTACATCATACTTTTTGATACCAGATGATTTCTTGTTAGAAAATTATGCAAGTAAGCTTTCTGCTTATTTCATCATGTAGTAAATTCATGTGTTAAATAAAACCAATAACAGTTTGATGGGTTTTTTACACATCAACCAAATATGATTAAAGAAACAATATATTCGATTCAGTTTTATGATGATATGACTTAAATTTGTTCAGGTAAGTCAGTCTATGTGAACAACTTGCAGCTTCACATAGGGTATGTTCTAATAAAATTTTTCAAAAGTTTTTTCTCATCTATTTTAAATTAACACTCCAATTATCTATAGCCACATACCGCTCTTTGGCCAATTATGTACATTCACTATGATGTGACTAGTCATCACAACAGTTATAATTATCTGTGTCTCAGGCATACTGCTGCGACATGAGAGCATCATTTTCTGAGGCTGTGTGACTGTGAGGTGTTGCACAGGACCTACAAGAAGAAACCAGCAAAACATTAAACAATAGTTTTCATATGTATGAAACAATCATCTACATTTTCACAAACAAGACAATGTTGGTCAACAATGAATATAATGAATAAATATGTGGCCAAAAATATTGAAACAACTTCATATCAAGTTATTAAAGATATAAAACTTTCCCACTGTTTGGCATATGGTAACTGAAAATAATGTCCAGAATAGTTATGAGTCATTAAAATCTAAAACATATCTTAGAAAAAATAACCAAAGACAGATAAAACTGACATCTAAACAATAATATTACAATGATGCTAGTCAGTTTATTTGTAATTAATACTGGAGATCAAAGTACAAAAATTATGATCAGAGACAACATTTTTATCAGACAAACTGCTAGAGAAAAGATACATTTTTCAGATAAACTAAATTCAAAATGAATCTCTATAACACAGATCACAAAAAACTGAACTATCTTCGTATCCTTAATACCATCACACCTAAAATTTTGGATCCAAAATGTCATCAGCCCTGCTTAAAAAAAGGAATGTTGCTTTTTTCCCTTTTCTTTTTGTTAAATTTTGAAATTAATATTGCATGTGAGGTCAATTATATTTCATGAAATGACACTAATATTTGATAAGTCACCTGTCTAGAGCCTCTCCACTATTGACCGAGTACTGTGGTGGAAGTTGATAAGGGGGAGGGGATGCACTGCGAGCCTCTCTTCTGTCACGTCTCCGATCCCTGTAAAAATTAACTCTACAATGTATCACAGACTTCCTAATTCACAGTAGAAATACAGATCAGTGTTATACAGTTCTGTTTATTAGAGAATGACTATCTGTGTTATTTGTTTGGTATATGGCAGAAAATGGTGAATAAAACTGTTTTTAGAAAATATTCACCTTAAAAGAAATTTCATTCTAACTTACATAAAATCAAATGAGTTTAAATCTGTTTTCATCACGAGATCAAATGAATCATTTTAAAACAAAGAAGGAAACAATTCTGAATATAGTAAAAAATGTCTTTGTTGTACTTTGTTGTGTCAAGGATGTGTTTTTTTGTGGAAATAGCGAAAGTGACATTTCAAATTGATGTTAAAGATATCTTTTTTCCTTAGTTTTATTCCATTTTCAATTTTTTTTACAAAAGCAGAATTCTTCAAATTTAACAGCCTTTAGAGTAAATGACAAGATACTGTGTTTAATTTTTACCTCTGTAATGTACTTGGGGCAGACTGGCAAGCCTCTCGTCCGTGCATGCCTCTACGGTAGCGGTGTTCGCGGTCAAGGGTCATTGAACCACTGCGGCTAGATAGCAGTAATGTATCTCTTTTCCTAGAGAGTTCCCGCAAGCCTTGTGATGCTCTTCTGATTGAGTTGTATTTATCCAAACTAATACTAAAAAAATAAAACATGGCATAGGCTGCTGAAAAGAAAATTATTTCTTTCATTAGCTTTGAGGCCCCCCATCCCCACCATCCTTTCTGATCATACAACAAAAGTGACAATCATGAGAAATTTCACGAAGTTTGGTCTTTTCCGAGAGCCTTATATGACTTATTTTTGACATTATATTCCTAGTTTTTTACTATGTGACAGCAACCTCAGAAACTTTTGAAACTCATATTGCACCTGACAGGGTATCATCCAGGAAATTTCAGAAAGATTTGCCTGCTTGAGTTTAGGTCTAAGGATATATAAGTGCACATTGACAGAATGTTGCACAAAGGATTCAGAATTTGTATGACCTGTTCGTGCACATCAAACAAAAAATATGGTATGATCAGAGTTAAATACTTACTCTTCCTGGCTCTCTGCTTTCTTCCTTCTGCAATGAAAAAAAAATGTTTAAAGAATGCATATATAGATTAACACTGGTAATGAATAATTTCATTTCACCTTCACTGAGGAAGATCCCAAATAACATTTATATACTAAGAAAGCACAAACAAAAATATTTTTTCACAATTGAATTTACTTCACTCACACATGACTAACAGCCACATAACATTTATGCTATAAATGGTTTCAAATATGTAAGCAGAAAACAATTTACATGCAGTGTGTAATACTATAATACTTTCAGTGACATTTACACTAAAATATGTTACAAACTTGAAATACTGTAATACTTTTAGTTACATTTACACTACAAACATGTAATTCTGTAATAATTTAAGTTAAATTTCCACTACAAACATGTAATACTGTAATACTTTTAGTTACATTTACACTACAAACATGTAATATGTTTAGTTACATTTACGTTACAAACATGTAATGATATAATACTTTTAGTTACATTTACACTACAAACATGTTATACTGTAACTTTTATTTACATTTACACCACAAACATGTAATTCTGTAATACCTTTAGTTACACTTACACTACAAACAACCCTGTTAACTGTTGTAAGATTTCATCTTAAACTAAAGTGATAAAACTTTTTGTGACCAAAAAAAAGATAAAAATTGAAACTGCAGTGTATGAATTGTGTTTTTCATAATGTCTTTTTTGGCAAATTTCAACAGAGAAGAGCACTGTAACAGCTTATGGTTAATATCTTCAATTCCTTCACTAGGATTCAAATCCACTATATCTGGTTTATTAGCAGAAGGATATATTGCAGCTTCCACAGTTACAGAACAATGTTTTTCAACCATTACCTGCTATTATGTGCACACTGAAAATTTTAGTTCCTACAAACCTTCTGGTGCAACTACAGCAGAGGATCATACTGAGGACCATTGCTAACAACAATATGACTCCTGCTGGTATCACTACAATGTACACAAACTCCATCCACATGTCCCGACATCTTCGTTCCCCATCACAAAGGTCTGGTGGACTAAAAACAGGAATTGGGTAAACCTCCATCTGAAATAATAAAAAACATATAAATTAGTGGGAAAATTTTCAAATAAATTTAATTTCATAACTTGTAATGTGAAAGTGTAGTAAAGCATTCTGAAAGTACTGTTAATCACGATAATAATCTATCAAACTCCTGTTAATTAGAATGCAATATATTATACTCCTTGCAACAGGTACTAGGTACAGGATATATACTGAAATCAGATTGTGTGATAGGCAGATTGTGGCTCTGAATTCATGATAAGTGAACATGATATTAGCTACATTTTACTGACAGTTATTTCTATGAAAATACATCACCTTGTTTGGCACAAGGTAACTATAAAATAACTAACTTGTTTAATTATAGACAACTTACAGAAAAAAATGGCAAAACCATTGGTAGATTGGTAGTGGACTCAGAAAGATGATATTAGATAAGGTCAAAACTCAGTCCACAATATGCAAGAAGGGACAGAATTCTGAGGAAAATTCATGAGATTTAAATACCAAAAAAATTTGGAAATGTGCATCTTTTAAGAAAGAGGCTTTGCTTTCACAAAAATTGTAACATGTAATGCTTTTAAAGGGCAATTTTTTAGCCCCCTGAATTCAGACGAGTAGGGGATTAAATAGCTATGGACTGGGTTCAATAATGGTGACATGATTAATTGTTATGAAAAGAGAAAGTAAGATTGGTAGATTGTAGAACATTCTTCAAAGGACCCATATTGTCCAATTCAACTTATATATGGTTCTATTCTTATTCCAAAATACAATGATGAAGAAGCTACAGGATTGAAGAGCATAATCTCAGGAGAGGCTTGACTGGTCTGAATATTTAATAATAAAAATGTCAGCCACTTAACTTCACTATTAGATCTAACAGTTAGATTGGGCAGTATGTGTATAAGATAAATGAAACTATTGTAAAGAAATGTTCCAATTCAATTCAATAATACGATATGTCGCTTAATTAAAGTGGGTGCATGGACAGTACATATCATTACATATAATAATTGATGCCATATTTTGCAACACTGTCATGATCGTCCTCGGATAATCAATGTTAATATATCGATAGTAACGTAAAGAAGGCGAAATGGAGAAGAGACCGATGTGTGGATTATGGATTCGTGGATTTTAATGGCAGCCACGTGCAATATCGTTTCTCTGACTTCGAGACAATTTAGAACTTTAGAAAACTGAGAAGGAAACTGAACTGCCAAAGAGGCCCGTGCAGAACCTGGGCAAGAGAGTCAACTCTAAATTGAGGATTCGTTCACAATATGCGAGACCTATGCGGAATTGAAAGTTGGACGGTTGTTATAATGAATACGATAACAAGGGTTTTTTTTAGATTATAAACTATGTAAAGATACGCACTTGATTTATCCGATGTGACTTCGAATGCAGTCTCCTCCTTCACCGGATATTAACAATAGCATACTAAATTTGGAAAACGTTCCAGTGTCCTTTTCCGGATTTTATTAGACGGTCTAGTGGAAGCTATCTGCCATTTTTAAAATGTTATTAGGGACAGGAATTTACCTTGAATTGGACCATGACATACATTCTCTAACTAATTACAGACTTCTTTCGTTTTATCTGCCATTGGTATTTGAAAGAATGGTTTATTAATATATATCATTTTATTGAAAACTTGTTGGGTATCAGTCAGCTTTTACGCAGGGTAATTCTTATGCGTGTCAATTGCTGTAATTGACATTTACCACCAAAAATGTCCAGCATTTGACGAGAAAAACATACATTTACGTGTATATATTTTTGCGATATATCTAAACCCTTCGACAGAGTTTGGCATAAAGGTATTGTAGATTGTATATCGGGTAAAATATACTTGATTTGAAAACTATTTCCCACATAGACGTCAAAGGGTAATTTCAAATATATATTATTGTCCTGTAAATGTCATTGAAACTGGGGTTCCTCACGGGTAAATTCTTGGCCCGCTTCTGTTTTTGATTTTCATCAATCATAGTTTGGCGATTTGTTTTTAATCTTCTCGTCCTTTTACATATGAAACTTCGACCTATATCCATCGTCCCCTTCTCTTGAACTCCAAATAACAATAAACTGAAAATTAGATAAGTTTAATACGTGCACAGCTACCTGACTAGTTAAATTACATCAACTAATATGTATATGATCAATGAATTCACAACGACAATAAGGACAATTTTCGAAGCAACCTGCCCCTTTATCAAGACACAAATACAACATAAATTACATCACATACATAGAACATAAAACAAATACAAAGTTATAAATCTAAATCGAAAGCGGTGGTATAAAATTATGTGTCTCAATAATCCCTTCGGTCGATAGACGCAAAATACCCTTTATAACGGAAAATCATCCTAAGTTGTCGTTAGTAATTAGAATATCAAAAGTATATTATATCAATCTCGGTGTGTTTTGCACCTTGGACACTGAACATATATGTGATTGCAACGAAAACAATAGCATGCCACACTCCGAGGAAAGTTGCCTGCCGGTACATCTCGGTCACATTCTAAGTGATATTTTTTTTTTATTATCATTTAATTATTTAAAATAAGAATATATATATTATGAGTAGATCTTAGAAACTCTCTCCGACTGCCGACAGAAACGGAAAAAAAGCTTCTGTTTTTTATCTGTTTTTTTTTTTTTTTTAAATTAAGATGCATAACGAACAAACGCATGATCTCTTGAACTGAAACTTACCACCTTCAGCTGGTGAAAGTAATCCTTATGCTCTTGGAAACAACAATAACCACAGAATTCTCCAATTTAGAGACTCTCTCTTACAAAATCTTTTTTCATACCATCCAATGTTTATTATCGGAATACATAATACAATTAGCTGAAATTGCTGTATCTAAATACTTCTTCCTTATTATTTGACATGCATATAACACTTCCCACGTATTACGGACTTGGAGAACGAAGATAAACTATTTTGCATACACAGCACAGATCTCAGTGTAGTTACCTTTATTATAACTCTGTAGAGCTAACTAATAATGCAGTCTGTAGTAGTTGTGGAAATCCTTGCATTTCAACTTGTCTCATAATTAAAAAAAAGAGTAAATATACGTTTCTTTAAATATTTCAAACATACTTATAGTGATATTTAACTCTAATTAATGTCCATACCCTTTAAAAGAAGTTTTTAAAAAAGTTTTAAGAATCATTGTTAGTTAGTATCTGTCATTCATTATTGGACAGGGCGCAATATGACGTCACGATGAAAAGTAACTTTCCGAACGCAACGCCGGAATATAGGCACTCGATCCCCACAATCGTGGCTTAGCGATATACATCTTCATCAGAGTAATATTTCAATATTAGTTTTGTATCAGATGATTATTAGAATACATTCTAACATGAATTATAATTAATGGTCGATGATTAATCACGTCCATTTTTTTCAGACTTAAATTTTCTTCTCTGTGAACTTATTAGTTAAATTGTACTTTGATAATGTATAAAAGATTCATGGTTAATTCGCTACCAGCCTGAGATATCGTATGACTTAATGATTGTGTGTACTGAATTGTAAGTCCTGAACCTGAACATAATGATCTTGGTGATTATCTTTTCAAAGTTTAATTCCTGATATTTTGATTCCATCAGGGAGACACGTGTACGCACATAAGTTTCGGAATTTATTAGAAAGAGATATATTTTCAACATGTATCCGAGAGGCGAGATTCTAACATGGTTTCGGCTTCAGATCATGGCTTTAAGATAAACTTTATTCTGTTGTTATATATAAATATACATTTAGCAATACAAGAAAAATCATTTGAATTGGATTCGGAAACAAATTTTCCAACTTATATTAATCCGTCTCATCATGACCTTATAGGGAAGACTCTGAAAAAGAAAAAGAGTAAGAAAAATGTCCTGATACATGAAAGCCAATATAGAAAGCAAAATTAGATACATGAAATGTTTCATAAATAATGTACATAAACAACCTCAATAAGAACTATATATTTTCTTTATATTTCAAACACAGCTCAATTAAAGATTAGTTATCCCAGCCTACGTTTTAATGAGGTCCTGCTCATATGTATTTGGTTTCAATATGATATGTGTTTTCAATAAGCATAATCTTCAATATTACACTACTTCGAAACAGAGAGTAATATTGAAGGCCAAACTTACTGAAAACATTTTTTTCTATTGAAACCCAAGAACCGATGGTACAGCTCTAATGATAAAACAATCTCATTCCGGAAATCTCGTTCACTTTCGGAATTTTTAACGTACGGTTCCATTGATTAGATAATTATATTACTACCCAGCATGCAATGCAAATAACAATGTCGAGTATCTTTGTTGATTGTACACTATAAAGAAGAGATTTTATGCTCACAGTTGCATACTTGCATTTATCTGGCTTTTCTACATCAAAGGTTGATAAACCTGTGTAAGTATTATTTGCGTGATGCATTAATGAAGGAAATACCCGTTCAACCTGTAGTTTTGCATACCACCGGTGATGCTCTTTCGCTCGACTTGAGCCGAGGCTACATCTGAAACCATCCAAATTTAGCATGAATAATACATGGGATACAGTAGATATTTGCTCATATACAAAACACATAGTGCAAGTGCTGCAAAAAAATATGCTGTCATTAGTGGCTGAATTATAATCATCAGAACTTTGTACACTCTGATTGTGTATTGCCGATGGCGATGGTTGGCTCATTGTATATTGGAAAGGGACCCCAGAAAAAAGGAGGGGGGTGGGGGGCGAGTTCGTTTTTAGATCTTGCAGTTATCCAGACAGTTTTGTTCCTTTGTGTACTTTAACATTAAATGATTTATAGAAATGTGACAGAGAATCATATCTAACAGACTTTGTTTGTGACTGATCACATCATTAAAAGAGATGGGAAGTACAATATGACAGTTGTGTAAAGTGTTTGGGCTTCGAACCATTCTGTCATTGAACATCAATTTAGATCCATAGATGTTTCTCTTGGTTAGTTGTTTCCTCACCAAGACCTGCTGGTATACAGCCACCCAACCCTCAACCCCCAACCACCCCCCCCCCCCCCCCCCCCCCCCCTCCACCACTCCATTCCCACTTCAACATCTTACAGAAGATCAATTGACAAACTTACACCTCACATATATGGGTAATAGCAATGATTACTGTTTCAATAATGAATTTATTAAGATGCAGCATTATTTGAACTAAAACCTTTTTGAAAACATATGCAACAGAAAGGGATGTCATCTTTCCCACAAACATGAAGTAAAATCTTGGCAGAATAGCCATGTTATTAATAAAGCACAAAAATTAAGATCCTCTTGAATTTAGTTTTAAGATGGTTCAAAAAAAGATCAGCATATTTGTGCTGCTCCCAGGTGTTTTAAAATCATTAGACTATAGTTACAACTGAAATTAAATCTGATAATGAGGTGTTATAACAATAGATTATCTTGCTTGCCATGAAAAAAGAACAAAAAATTATGAAATCAAGATCAGGATCTAGATTAGTCAATAACCCATAGAACAGCTATAGTTAGCCTTGGTGTCCGTTTGATTCATGGAAATATTTAAGGTTCCAATGTACATGTGAACTCAAGAGGTATACATTTTTGCACAAGGATCTCGGCAGAATCCTTTATCATTTTGTAAGGACACACTGCACCAGATATAACACCCATTAAGCTTACATATAAGTATGAAGTGGTACTGTGGATGGCAGAAGACCACCTTGTTACATTGTACATGTATTTTTTAATTTGTTGGGTCATTCTACAACAGCTATATATATACCCAAAGGTTCTATAAATTTTGGTGATCATCTAAGAATGAGGTGAAGGGAAAGTCACTTAATACTTGAAAGCTGTTTTTAACTGAAAATGAAGAGAACATTCTGTATTCAACATGCTCACATTGTATTTATCTTATATATGTATGTGTGTTTGAAAATAAAAGAACAACTCTTTTTTAATTTGATTGGAAAACCATGTTGAGCTGACAGTCAGACCATTTAATTTTCTAATTCATTCCAGTATGTAATACATGTACTGAATCCTTTTGTATTGACAAAACCATCAAAATAAGGTTTTGTATTTTCAGTCTTTGCTTTGAGAGTTCCATTATAACCAATCATCATACTGGACAGAGCGCAATTCCTGGGTCCCAGGATGCCAGCCGGGCAGCCTATCCCATCCCCCATGGACAGAGATCATGGAATTGCGTAAGTCATCATTTAAGTTAAAGCAAATGCGAAGTTAATTAACATTTGATATTTCAGGAAAATGGTAACATTTTTTGTGTGTGTTTGGTGTACAATGTCAGTGTTACTTTCTGAATTGATTGTCCTTTTATCTGAAAATCAGAAAGTATGCAACATATACATGTGTATCTGTAATGATGCTTTTACACTTATAAAAAGCATGACTTGATAGTAATTGTATATAGTTCAGATTAATGTATCTTTGGTTTTGCTGTCTGTATAAATTTGTTCTGTTTCAGGAGATAAGATAAGACAGTATTAAACATGATTTACATACAATAGTACTCTCTTCATTATACCAAACAGAGGTCATAATAGGCCATAATAGCTCATTATTGCGAGAATGATGCAGAAGACAAAAATGTCTGAAGCTCAATTTCATTTTTCCTGAAAATTGCTTATAGAAAATATTTATTATTAAGGTTGAATGTTAGATGAAAGCTTTGTTTCCCTGATGGTTATTAACTAACCTGTAGGAGATGATGAGAATTACATCGAAAATATGACAGAAATATGTACATTTGCTTCTAATTTAGTCAAGGGAGTTGCATGGGTGAAATTGCCAAAATACACTGATATTTCATTGCTACAATGACAAAAATTGCCAGTCCTGGGCATGTCAAGCCCTACCCTCCAAGACACCTTGGCACTGACTGATCTCTGTTTTACTAAACATGTAGGCAGTTGGACCACCTTTGTTGAAGAGGAAATACACTTATGGTGCATATTAATATAAACAGAAATTCGTATGAAAAATCCGGATTTTCTGCATAGATTATAAAGATTATTAAATACGCAAAAAATAACTGTTAAATACAGGTAAAAGCAGTATCATTAATTCATCCAATGAGAAATCTTTATTTCTTTTAGCTGTGAAAACAATTCAAATGACAATTGTTTCTTTTTTAAGTTGTTATTATTTTTTTTACTTTGTTAAGCTGCAATAATTCTTTAAAAACATAACATTTGTCAATTAATCTTTGAATTGTATTTCTATCTATCTGTATTCATTTATGGATTATTTATCTGTTTATTTATATGGAAACTTTAGTAATTGTTTACAAAAATTGACTGTTGAATAAGTATTTCTCATCTTTCTTGTCTTTATTCTACTCAAATTTTACATAATACTTACAAAATCTTCCAAATCAATCTTTACAACTTCAAATTGAAGCACTATTTTAAAAAAAAAAAATGAAAAAATAACACATGTTGATTAAGATGTCCCATATCAATTATCAGTTATTACTTATTGTGAAACCATAAACAGTTTTTAGAAAATTAAGATTTTGGTATACATCTTGATTTTGGCTAGGCCTAGCCATTGAGTAGTGTCTTTGTGGACACAATTAAGGGAGATAACTATTATCACCTTATGGTTGCAGTAAAGAAAAAATACTAAAAATTTGTTGATTTGTTGATACGGTTACATAATACCATTGACGTAAGCTAAATGTTGAAAAGATATTGTAATTGAATTTTTGTTTATATAACAGTGAAAGGGAAATTTGTTGGAAGCTCAAATCCTATAAAAGATAGTGTGTCTGTCAATCACTCCATTGAAAGCAAGTCCTTCCAAAGAATTTTCAACAATGTTCTAAATTTTATAGCTGATCAGGATCCTCTTTCAAGATAAAGTTGTTCTCATACAAATGTTATATTTATAGTCTCAGTTCTCTGATTGTAAGCTTAAGTGATATTTCATTCCTGTCTGGCACTGTGAGCACATCCCTTGGTTTTGTGTATGATTTAGTATTTATGAAAGAGTTGATATGGAATATGATGCATAATACAGATTATAAGCTCTAATTTTTTTCTACTTAACTTGTTTTATTACAGCCATGCTTACAGCTGTGTAAATTGTAGACAAGCAAAGTTGATTTGCTACCAGACTCTTACTTGGTGTTTTTGATTCATAAGACTTGCCTTAGGTAGTATTAAAGCATTTTTAGCAACATGTTTATCCTTATTTAATTAGTTTGTCAATATATAGTGATTCATACTGTAAAGTGATATTACCAAGAAGTACTTTAGTCAACAAAAGTTATTACCCATGTGTACTTTAATTAACAGAAGTTATCCCCCATGTGTACATTAGTCAACAGAAGTTATCACCCATGTATACATTAGTCAACAAAAGTTATCCCCCATGTGTACATCAGTCAACAGAAATTATCCCCCATGTGTACATCAGTCAACAGAAGTTACCACCCATGTGTACATCAGTCAACAGAAGTTATCACCCATGTATACATCAGTCAACAGAAATTATCCCCCATGTGTACATCAGTCAACAGAAGTTATCACCCATGTATACATTAGTCAACAAAAGTTATCCCCCATGTGTACATCAGTCAACAGAAATTATCCCCCATGTATACATCAGTCAACAGAAGTTATCCCCCATGTATACATTAGTCAACAGAAGTTATCCCCCATGTATACATAAGACAACAAAAGTTATCCCCCATGTGTGCATTAGTCAACAGAAATTACCACTCATGTGTACATCAGTCAACAGAAGTTATCCCCCATGTATACATTAGTCAACAGAAGTTATCACCCATGTATACATTAGTCAACAAAGTTATCCCCCATATGTACTTTAATCAACAGAAGTTATCCCCCATGTATACATAAGACAACAAAAGTTATCCCCCATGTGTGCATTAGTCAACAGAAATTACCACTCATGTGTACATCAGTCAACAAAAGTTACCACCCATGTGTACATTAGTCAACAAAAATTATCCCCCATGTGTGCATTAGTCAACAGAAATTACCACTCATGTGTACATCAGTCAACAGAAGTTATCCCCCATGTATACATCAGTCAACAAAGTTATCCCCCATGTGTACATTGGTCAACAGAAATTATCCCCATGTGTGCATTAGTCAACAGAAATTACCACTCATGTGTACATTAGTCAACAGAAGTTACCACCCATGTGTACATTAGTCAACAGAAGTTACCACCTATGTGTACATTAGTCAACAGAGGTTATCACCAATATGTATTTAAGTCGACAGACAAATATCACCCTGATAGTCACAAGTTACCTCCCATTCTTGTGTATTATAAGTAATTTAAGATCAGTTACTGGTCACCTCACTTGAGTGTGTGTCTAGATGATCAATAATACTACTGTTATAGTGCACTTGCCTTTATTCCCGGATTGGATATTTGGGGGAGGGGGGCATGTTTGTGGGGAGGTGGGGGGTGGGGATCACCTGCTTGTTCACCTTGCACAACTTCCAGCTTTGCCAATAGGAGTGATAAAGATAAGCTGATAACTATTTCACATATTTCACAACAATTTTAAGACAAGCTCAGGTTTATATTTTTTATATCACTGGCTACTCAATAAGAATGAAGCTGAACCATTACAAAAAGAGTTGATGCCATTGACCTTAGTCCTGGGTAGTTGTAGAAGATGTAAATGTGTTTGGCTGTTATAATTCACTGGCTACCTCACGCTCTACTGAGGGCATTTATGCTTTATCACCTATCATAGTACATTATGTCATAGTTGCCTCTCTTGAATGTTTGGACACTTTCTTAAATAGGGTTGTTTGATATCCTACTTTGCTGACCTTAGTCATGCTAAAGAAAGGCCAGTCTAACTGCAGCAGTTTATAATTCCCATGTATAAGGAAACCAGAAAAAATGGGTATATCTAGAGAACTACAGCTCATGATTGTGATTGACCAATGATTTCTGGACCACAGGCTCAAGATCAGACCAGCTAGACACTATCTACAGATGTATCATCATATTGAAGCATCACAGTGGTTAGCTAAGATACTTGTTTATCCTCATGGGTAACCAATTTAGATGAAACTGCAGCATGAACATACAGAGTAAATTTATGACAGTTGATTATTTACTCAATATATTATCTCCCTTGAATGTCCTCGTGTACATCCTGAACTTGTTAGTTGTTAACTTGTATTTGCCTGGTCCCAACTTTGGATAAGAGTTTTATCTTAGAGAAAGCAGGATTAGTTGATCAACTTAAACTTTGAACATAAAGTTTATAATGAATGGTTTTGTTTTCCACTGATAAGTTTAAGAATTCATGAAATATCCAAATATGTAAGTTAGCAAATTGTACTTGATAATGATGAAAGTTATTGTTTGATACTAAAGGAAGGAAATGAATAACTATAGACAGAAAGGTGAGATAAGCATATTCTTTGTTAAGTCAGTGGTTTAAGTGTTATAAACTTAGGAAAATAAGATGAGATATCAAAGGTAGGGGAGATTACAATGCATTCACCGAGTTATTTCATTTTTAGCTGTCTTCAGATGGTGGGTTATTCATATTGCCACACATTGTGGTCTTCTCATGCGTCTGTAAATGAATCTTGTTTTTTGTTGGTTCTTTAGGACTACTGCATGGGTCTTCCTTGAATTTCTTGTATGTGTACATACATGTGCCCCTTGTTGTCTAGTTATACCTGTTTGATTTGTGACTGATCAGGAAAACAAAATGGCTGACAGGTTGGTGTCTTGAATTCTGACTATGAAAGTTTGTTTCTTCTTGTGCAGTACTGAATAGATCTTTCTCAAATTTCATATGCAGGTTCTGGTTGGTCCCTATTTGTGCCCTTCTGATGGGGACTGATCAGAAAAACAAAATGGCTGACACACAACTGTCCCAGATTTATCACCATTTCTTAGATGAATTTTCAAATTTCATATTATTAATAGAAGAAACAGTGAAGAGAATGGAAAGATCCAACTTTCAAGAACAAATGTGAAACAGTGATGGGTACTAAGATCCCTTTGTTAAATGTTTGCGACAGAAAGGTTCTGGTTAATGTTATGTCACCTGACCATGAGCTTATGTTGTGGTGCATATCAGCAGTCTGTCTGGTGTCAACTTCTCTATTCAAAAATGCCTTCACTAAAATGTTCAGGGTACTGATATTTGGCTTATGTAGCAGTTTTTGATGAA